CTCTGACTCAAAAAAGTGGACAAAGAACATGAACAGATACTTTTCAAAAGAAGATACAAACACCCAACAAACATATGAAAAAATGCTCAGTCTCACTAATCATCAGAGAAATGCAAATCAAGACTATAATGAGATACCACCTAACACTGGTAAAAATGGCTATCATTAACAAGTCAAAAAACAACAGGTGCTGGCAAGGCTGCAGAGAAAAGGGAATGCTTCTACACTGTTGGTGGTTCAAACTCTACAGAAAGCAGTGTGGCCATTTCTAAAAGAACTAAAAATTAGACTTCTATACAGTCCAGCAATCCCTCTCCTGTAAATATGCCTGGAGGAACATAAATCCTTCTACCAAAAAGACACCTGCACATACATGTTTATTGCTGCACCATTCACAATAGTAAAAACATAAAACCAACTCTAGATGCCCACCATTTTGTTTGGCTAAACAAAATGTGGTATAAATACATGATAGAATACAATGCAGCCAAAAGAAAACAAAATCATGGTCTTTGCAGCAACTTGGATGCAGTTGGAGACATCATACTAAGTAAACTATCACAGAAACAAAGAACTGAATATCGCATATTCTCACTTATAAGTGGGCTCTGAAGACTAGTCACAGTAGCACAAGAGTGGAATTGGCAGACACTGGGCACTGCTAGGGGAGGGAGGGGCCACATAAAACAACACAAAAGGTACCTGGTCCACGGTAAAGGGAAGAAAAGGCCAGTGAGAAACCCTAACATCATCTGCATGCAGTTTCCTTATGTAGCAAACCCTTAATTGTATCTCAAAGTTTAAAGTTACTCATGACTCTAAAAAAAATTTTTAAAAAGAAAAGTCTGTTGGACGTATTATGGGTGGCTGATGATTGGTTTGGGGAGTGGGGTAAGTACAGTTAGGATAGGAAAAGAATCGATGCTCTCAGCTTCTGTTTTTAAACTTATTTCCCTTTAAATGCTGGGAGCTCTGCCTCATTTTCTCAACTCCTGTTTGTAAGGTGGGAGGAAACTGTTGGAATTTTAGCCAGGTTCCCAGTCTGGGGGTGTGGCCAGCAACTCACAGGATGGCTAGAGGCCCTGATTCCAGCAGAAAATGCTGCATTCAACACTCACCCTTTCCATACCCCATTCTGACATGTCTTGTACCAGGCAGCTTCCAGGCAACCAGGAGAAATGAAATACAAGATGGCTGAAGGAGAAGGGCAAAATGGACATTTAATTACACACGGTAGTATAAATGGGACAGGAATCAAATCTGGAGTGTCTCTACACCAATTCTCCAGTTAACAGACACTCAACCTAAATGTGCTTTTCTCAGTCATGGATGCAAAATGAGATCTCATGTCAGGAAAAGCTAGTGTCCAGTCCATGAGAATGTCATTTAGTCTCAGTGAAGACACGCAGGAGGGTCAAAACCATTTGGGAGGCCTCTCCTGGGGATAGGGAGGTTGTTCTAGACAGGTCTATCAGAAAAGTTGGAAACGTCTCAGGCCCATAAAGCAATAAAGGCCATGAAGGCAAAACCAGCAGCTACACAGCCCCACTTGGCTAGAGGGGCCTCAGGACCAGCTAGCTCCCGGGGCAAAATTTCTAGGAAAGTGACATACAGGAATGTGCCAGCCGCCACACACTGTAAAACAGCCTGGACCAAGCCTTGCCCCCCTTCAGAGTTTCCTCCAGCCACAGCCAGCCCTAGGGCTAGGCCCACAGGGGACATGAGTGCTAATGATAGTATGGAGAACACGGCCCATCGTGACCCAGTGCCTAACTGCACGAGCCTCATTCCCACGCCAAACACTATGATCCCCTTATGAGCCAGGACAGCAAGACAGAGCTGGACAGTAGCTGCTACTGTTGGCTGCAGCCCCACAGCTAGACCTTCAAACACCGAGTGAAAGGAGAGTGAGAGCAAGAGGATGAGGGCCCGGAGGGGACCCCATGAGGGTGAGGGTTGAGGTCCATGGCTGTGGAGTTCAAGGACGTGAGCCTCATGTGATGCCTCCTCCTGCATGGTTGATCCTTTACCAGTCCCAGGACAGCACTGCAACACCAGTGACTCCAAAAAGAAGACAAAGAAGAAGCCCAGGGAGATGATGAGCTCTCCATAGGGATACTCCACCTAGGAATGGAAAGAGAGGCTGTGTGATGAGAAAGGAAGGGAACACAGTACGTTGGATGGACATGGAATTGGGAGATGGAAGAGAACGGGAAAACGTGGCAATAGATCATCAGAAAGGGTAGGGGAATGAAGCCAAGAGCGGGCATGCACATGGAACAAGGAAACAGGGACTATGGGACACATTATCAGTAGGGTTGGAAATATAAAAAAATGAAGTGAAGCATGTTAGGGGGTCCAGGGAAAGAATGAGAGAGTAAACCAAGAGGTTTTTCTGGGTTCCATAAACTCAGGAGGATTCAATTGGCTCCTCCTGTCCTCCACAATGCCTGAGCTGGGGAGAAGGGATTCTTGGTATTTCTCACATACTCCTCTCAAGAGGGTCTGGATATGAAACGACTGGTTCACTTCATATCCCTGAAGATAGGGGCTGGTGGGAGATACTTACATGAGCTGAATAAGCATCACCAGTAGAATTTTGCTCACTTGCTGTTCCATTCTAGGGAGAAAGCAGAAACAGATGTGGAATAAAGCAGCTCGGCTTGCTGTCCTGTTCCTTCAGCAATACTACTTTCCTTCAAGCCCAGTCTGACCTGCTCTCATCATTCCACATAAGACCTGTCTTCTTCCCTGTAGTTCCACCCATGTCCTTGGCTCTATCACTTTTCCTGCTTTCTTCCCTGGGTTCTGTTTATCATTCTGGCCTCACAGCCCTGCGGCTCAGCATCTCTGCGGCTCACCTGCACCATGACCTTCTGGATCTCTGAATCAATTTCCTCCAGGGCTTCAGCAGTCATGTGCATCAGGCCTGCTCCCAGGAAAACACCGGCAGAAACGCAGCCCAGGAGGCTGAGGATCCGCTGGTGACGACCTAAAAAGAAGCAGAAGTTACAACCCCACTGGCAGTGAAGAGATAGGCAAAGGTAAGGAGCAACAGGTAGCACCCAATACCCCAAGCGTGGGGGTGTTGAGAGAATCAGAGCAAGGCATCAGGATAGGGTGGAGGTGAGACTCAAGCTATGGAAGAGAGGTTGGGATAGGGCTAACCTGTGGCTGCAGCAATCTGGAACCATTTGAAGCAGATGGGAATAAGGCCACAGCCCAGAGTGAGGGTCAGCAGGGCAAACAGGCAGCCAATTTTCACTCCTAGTAATGTCTCCATCTCTGGAGTGTAGAATGAGCAGAGGACTCAGGACGAGAAATGGTATTATAATCTTTGGAGCCGAAGTGGTATCTTAGGTGGTCGAAGGTGGAGTATCCACTCCCGTTTCGGGAGACTGTTGGTATCTTCTTTCTGTTCTGTTCACCTCTGCTTGCGCCACATTGCATAGCTGACTTGGGCCCTGCCCCAGCTTCCCTCCCTCCCCCTACTTGGAGGCCCCTCCCCTGACTACGCCTTCCTGAGCTTGGAAACCAGAAACTCCAGACTCCCTGTCAGGCACAGCCCTGTGCTGTGTTTTCTTCAATGACATGACTAATTCAAGGGCTGTGGATAGTCTTAGTTCATGCCTGGGATTGGTTTGATCCAGAAAAGAAGTTTATGGTAGCTACTTACCAGTTGTTTTTTTGTTGGGGACAACCTGGTCCTGCCTCAGGACATTTGATCTAAGCCTTTCATACCCTCTCCACGCCATCCCAAGTCTTATAAATTGCAGTGCTGATACTTGAACTGTACCCTTTCAGAAGGGATTTGGGGCCACCTGGAGGTAAAGAGGTGGGGCTCAGAGGTGGTGCTGCTGCCACTCTATGGGAACTAGTAGGGGAGGGGACTCCTCTTCCTGTAACCCCAGAAAAATAGCTCCAGGCATAGAAATGTCCAGTGGTGAGTTGAGATTTCTGGCATTACAACACTACTACTGTCACGACTGTCACAACTTATGACTGTGCCCGTTTCCTGATAAGAACTGTGGGAGAGGAACTGTGGGAGAGTTTTAAGACAAAGGAAGTTGCTCTAGGTCCAAACTAGCAAGGCCTGGGAGAAAACAAATGAACTGAGTAAATGGAAGGATACTGCCTGGAGACACAGGCATAGAGATGGAAGATTCAGTCCTGATGGGGATGAACTCTTGCGGGAAATGCATGGGGCAAACTCTAGGGTAGCTGAGAGAGACCCTGGGGAAGGCAGAAGGGAAGGAGACAGAAGAAAAGAGACTAGGCAGCTGCTAGCTCCCCTATTCAGGTGGCCCACATAGCAACCCTGAGACCTGTTGAGCCAGTTCTCAGAGAGCTGGGGGCGGCTTTCCTCACTACTCCAGATTATCTTCCTGGGGAAGTCTTGGACTCTGGTAGTAGTATTCTTATGAGAGTGAGCTTAAGATCTATGTGAGAAGTTTAGCACCGAAAATCTGAGGATTTTCTTCATTACAGAATAGGCCAGGGCATTTGAACTCTATAACTTTACTTTATTTTTAGAGATGGGTCTCTTGCCCAGGCTGGAGTATAGGGGCTTTATCATAGGTCACTGCAACCTTGAGCTCCTGGGTTCAAGTGGCCCTCCTATCTTAGTCTCTCCAGTAGTTGGGACCACAGATACATGCCACCATGCCTGGCTTCTATACCTTTTAAGAATCTCAAGGCTGGGCATGGTGGCTGAAGCCTGTAACCCCAGCACTTTGGGAGACCGAGATGGGAGGATTGCCTGAGCTCAGGGTTCGAGACCAGTCTAGGCAACATGGTGAAACCTCATCTCTACAATAAATCAAAAAATAAGCTGGGTATTGTAGCATGTGCCTATAGTTCCAGCTACTTGGAAGGCTGAGGTAGAAGGATCGCCTGAGCCGAGCAGGTCGAGGCTGTGGTGGCCAGAAGCGGCCACTGCACTCCAGTCTGGGTGACAGAGTGAGACTCCAACTCAAATTTTAAAAAGTCACAAAATCCACTTCCCTTCTTTAAAAATTTATTGTTGTTATTATTAAAATCTCAAACACAGACATATGGGAGTACCAGCATTCCCACCCTGGATGCCAGGTAGCTTCAGTCTCAGCAAACATGATAGAAGAAAAAACTTGTTACATATCCTTGTCAATTTTCAGGAGGATCTTCAGCAGAGGATGGAGAAAGCTCAGATGCAGTGATCACAGGTAAAAGATCTCCCCAGGAGCTGACACGAGCACACCGATACAAATCCCTATGGAAAAGAGACATCAATGCGGGCTATAGGTTCCTGCCACATCCCACTAATTTTGGTGACATCTGCTATACCTGCCATGCTGGCGGGCTGTGATCACAGCATGCTGCATATGCCCATCTGGACAGCACAGGTGACAATGCACATGGCGAGGGCGCTTAAGGATAGGTTGAGTGATTCGGGGCCAGCGATTAGCCTCCTCTGGAGCTCCCCGGGCAAGAATCACCATAGAGAACCTTTCCTCCCTTGGTTTCTTGTTCTAAGATAAGGACATAGAGTCTGTTAACAGGAAAAAGATATGGCAAAAAGATTTTTATGTACTTTCCCTTAATTCCTGCAGTACTTTTTCATGTGGTATAAATCATATACAAGTAGGTCCTTAAGTTTCCAGGCTATTCTATGAATTCTCCAACTCCCTCCACCTCTGATTCTTTTTCTTCCTGCTTTCCGAGGCTATGTTCTCCCTGCTGCAATATCTCCAAGGTACATACCCAGCTGAAGGGGATGGGATGGTAAGCCTGGGATAAGCTACAGGCCAAGGGCTTAGAGGCTGTCAACTGCGGACAAGGAAGTTCATGGGGACACTGTGAACATACATTAAAAACATGAGTTAAGAAAAAGAACCATTAAAAAAAAAAGAAAAGAAAAAGAGCCATTGATCATAACTTAAAAACCAAGAATGAGAGAGTTAAGAGGGGTCAGGAAGAGAGCCAGAGAAATCATTAGGTAGGAACTGGATAGGAACACGAGGCAGTGGAGAGTGGCTTAGTTTTCTCTGCCACTTTTCCTGGTCACAACTGAGTTCAGATCTATGTGCTAGGACAGACAGAAGTAATACTCACAGGTGCAAAGACAAAACCAGGTCGAGGGTCCAAAGGTGACTTCTCTCTTGTCTTAAATCAAAGAAAATCAAACAAATAAAACTATGCCTGAAGGGTTAGTTTTCATAACTCAATTTCTGCAGTCAGTAAATTGAGGATTCCTTTAACATTCAATTCTAATAATGATTAACTATGTCCTTTGAATTAAGCTGGCTGCATCTTTAATACTCCAAACAAAGAACGTTCTCTTTGCAGGAGAAAGACAGAAGTTTGGCACAATATATGTACACTCCCTTGTCAGCAATGTCCACTCTAAAAAAAATTCCACTCCAGGACAATTAAATTTATGATTTATACTGAAGGCTGGGCACGGTGGTTCCCGCCTATAACCCCGGCACTTTGGGAGGCGGAGCTGAGAGGACTGCCAGAGCCCGTGGGTTTAAGACCAGCTCGGGCAACTTGGTGATACCTCATCTCTACAATAAATCAAAAAATTAGCTGAGCATGGTGGTGTGTGCCTGTAGTTCCAGCTACTTGGAAGGCTGAGACAGAAGGATCATCTGAGCCCAGCAGGTCGAGGCTGCAGTGGCCAGGAGCGTGCCACTGACCTCCAGCCTGGGTGACAGTGAGACTCTAACCCCCCCAAAAGCACACACAAATATATATATATATATATATATATACACACACACACACACATACTGGTTGTCCTACAGTGACAAAGTTCTTGGCTCAGCAATGCCCCTGATTAGGAATCAGTAAACTTTCTTTTAAAGGGTCAGAGAGTGGGTAACATCTGTCTCTGTCCCAGCTACTCAACTCTGCTATTTGTAGTGTGAAAGCAGTCAGAGACAAGAGGCACGAACAAGCATGGCTCATAAAAAAACAGGTGGCAGGTTGAATTTGATCCACAAACCCTTATTTGCCAACCACCATTCTGTATCATCATGACTTCATATGGCCAAGTTTCCTAAGAGTCAAATTTACCATTGTATGAACAGAGTCTCTTTAGTTTTCAAGGGAGCAACAGTAATTGGTGACAGATGGGTAGGGGAAGGAGCGAAGGAAGGAACCTTACCTTAAGGACCAGGTCCCTGGCATCCATGAGAAGGCGGTGCCCAGCTTTTGTTCCATTCTCCACTAATACCTGTTCATGAATGGGGAACATAAGCAGAAGCCCTGAATTACATGAAAGTATCAATGTCAATAGCTCTGTAAGAGCAAACACAGATGGAAATGGGCATGGGGATGGAGACCCTTAAAGAGGGACAGAGAAACCCACAGAGCAGAAAAATATTCAAGAATGAAGACAAAAAAGGAAAGACATGAAATCCTTGAAGCTGCTTTAAACTTGAGGGGAAAATGTGACTTCAACTCACCAGGAAATGACTTGTCTTGCGCCACAAGGTTTGAATTACCTCAGTACGGTCAGCCTTGCTGGGCAGTTCACTTAAGGAAAAGGCTGATACTATCACATCAAATTGTACCTGAGAAGCAAGACAAGGAACATGACAGACCCAACATCTCTCAATTCTGAGAGTGCAGCAAAATTCTATCTCCCAAATTTATTCTAACACTGAGTGCTGGGTTGCAAAGCTAGGGCTATAGTTTTCCATCTACAAAATTTCACATTTAGAACACTCTAAATACTACTTGCCTTGGGTGATACTGGTAGAAACTGTCTGAAAAAGACACCTGGAATATGAGGCTCCCCAGAATCTGAACCATCTGTGGAGGAAAAAAGAGACATGGCAACTATGAGGGTATAGGAAGTCAATAGCCACGGGTATAAATTGAAGAGGTATCCAGACAAGACACCTGGCCCTGAGAATGACAAATACTAGGTAAGAGTGAAATGCAATAATGTAAGTAAATACTAAAACGGGCAGTGAAAACATCAGAGCTCCTGTCTTGTTAACTTTACCCAACCCATCCTTGTTCCAGCAAAGACTTCTAGCATCCTCTACTTTCTAACTGACCACAGGACAGAAGACCAGATTAATCTTAACTTTTATTACCCCTCCCCCATTTCCTAATAAAACACCGTTTCTAGAACTCTTTTGCTTTCTTAACTTCCTTAACTTTGGAAGTAGCCTTCTTTGTAGCCTGTTCTCACCTTTCAGTAGTTTTTCTGCCAAATCCAACATAGCAGCTGAACTGTCCACACACATATACTCATGTAGGCTCTGGCCCCAAGTACTGTGAGCAGCCCTAAGATGGTAAAATATAAATCACTAATTCTTGTGACAACGAGTCATCCCTTTTGAGTTGGAGTCTCATTCTGTCATCCAGGCTGGAGTATAGTGACACACTCATGGCCACTGCAACCTCGACCTGCTGGGCTCAGGCGATCCTTCCACCTCAGTCTTCCAAGTAGCTAGAACTACAGGTGTGAGCCACCACATCTGGCTAATTTTTTGATTTATTGTAGAAATGAAGTCTTGCCAAGTTGCCCAGGTTGGTCTCGAAATCCTAGTCTCAGGCAATCCTCTTACCTTGGCCTCCCAAAGTGCTGGGGATTACAGAATTGAACCACTGCGCACGGCCGAGAAACTTTCTTTAACCCTGTGTTTGTTAGTTCTAGCTTTAGAGCCATACTTACTACTCCAGTATCAAGAGACTGGGAAGCCAGAGAGAAAATAGGAAAGTTGGGAACCTAGACTGTTTCTGCCCTCAGATTAGGCAAGGCGGAAGAAGGTATATACGGATTGGGGCCAGAAAGTAAAGACATGTCAATGACAAAAGGCTCATGTTGAGAAAGATTGAAAAGGAAAAAAATTTCATATAGGGTATAGGTTTTATATATCAGTCAAAATTATTTTATCTACAAAAAGTTTTTTGAGTCTGCCTTTTTTAAAGGAGTTGTAAATGAAAAAAGAAAATAATAATATTGGCTGGGCACAGTGGCTCAGCCTATAATCCCAGAACTTTGGGAGGCTGAAGCGAGAGGATTGCCTGAACCCTGGGGTTTGAGACCAGCTGGGTAACTTGGTGAGATCTCGTCTCTACTATAAATCAAAAAATAAGCCGGGCGTGGTAGCACATGCCTGTAGTTCCAGCTACTTAGAAGACTGAGGCGGAATTATCACCTAAGCCCAGCAGGTCAAGGCGGCAGTGGTTGTGAACGTACCACTGCATCCCAGCTTGGGTGACAGAGTGATATTCCAACTCAAAAAAAAAAGTTACTCACCAGGTGACAGAACCAGTACCCGAGCCAAAGTCCATCAGGGTTTGTGGCTGAAACTCTGGAATTCGAGCCCTGATCTGAAGAAATATAAATACCGCGAAATAGGTTCATTAGATACTTATTTAGGGTCTTTGTAAATATGAATTAGGGGACTATGACAGAGGAAGCGACATGTGAATGTATTATGAGAATCGATGTAAATACAGAATAGGAAGCTCTTAAAGCAGTGGTTCTAAGCCTTTTTTGGATAACAGAGTCTTTCCAGAGAATAAAGAGAGCCTGTTTATTAATTTTTTCAACTTAAACATTTTTTTTAGAGGTAGGGCCTCACTCTGTCATCCATGTTGGGTGAAGTGGAGATCACCACTCACTTCAGTCTTGAACAGGGCTCAAGTAATCCTCCTGCCTCAGCCTCCCAAGTAGCTGGGACTATAGGCATGTGCCACCATGCCTGGCTGACAGCCTCTTTAAAAAAGGCATATGAAATGTCCCAAGAATATCTAACCTAGAAAACTACTTTATGATAAAGGGAACTGATGATAAAAGGGTTCTGGTTGGAAGTTGAATTTCACCTCATGGAATGCTCTGGAGACTGCTGCAAAGCCACCATCCAGTCTTGCTGCCATATACACCAGGCTGAGTCCCTCATTGTAGCTGCCATAAAAACAAGAGAGTCATACCCATAGGGAAATAACCTCAATCCCATAGTTACCCTAGTTATTTTTGGAAAATGACATCTTGGGAAAGGGTTCTGCCTCTTTTTTTTTTTGAATTGGAGTCTCACTGTCGCCCAGACTGGAGTGCAGTGGCTGCTCCCGGCCACCGCAGCCTCGACCTGCTGGGCTCTGGCGATCCTTCCGCCTCAGCCTTCCAAGT